TCAAAATTATCTCTTCTTCAAGCATTCAATAAGGCATGGCAACACTGTGACATCCGGGACTCTTGGAGGAAAATCCGGATTGCCCCTATTCCGAAAAGGGATAAGGATTTGGATATATACACGAATTTCTGATCACTGCTGCCAAGGAGAACAACCTTAAAGTCACTCTTGTTACTCTCGACATTGCGAGAGCATACGATTGCGTGAAAATCGACACGCTACATACAATCCTCTGTCAACTAAACATGCCCCACCATTGGTCTTGCTGGATATATGAATTCCTACGTCCACCGCATACTGACTCTTGGTACCAGCAATGTCGATATGTATAACGGTCTTCCTCAGGGTAGCTGTCTAAGCCCGCTCCTATTTAACATCTACACTACAAAATTACACAAAATAGCTGATGAGAACACGCACATTTTCCAATTTGCAGACGACTTTGTAATCGTATCCACACACCGAGATTTTGACCTCTCTGTTCGACAACTCCAAACCAAATTAAACCTTTTTTATGGTATCTCCAAATCTCTAAATCTCAACATAAACTATCAAAAAACAGCTGCTCTATATATGGCAAAAGGAGCAAGGAGGAATGTGTCAGTGAACATCAATGACAATCCAATCGTAAACGTGAATTGTTTTAAATTTTTAGGAAGATACATCAAAAACAGCCTTTCACTCAAGGAACATTACGACTCTGTTGTTGGAAAATCTAAATTAGCATGCAATGCCATAAAAATGGTTACAGCTTTCAAAGGTGGGCTTATGCCAAATATTGCGATAAACCTTTCTAAATCCTTGGTTTTCTCGAAAATAGAATATGCTAGATCTTCCACGGCTCACGCGCCCAAATATATAAACAAAAAAATAATGACATTTCAAAACAACTTACTTCGAAGAAGCCTAGGACTTAATCCCTCAACGCCTACTCACATAATTTATGCCCTATCACTCACTCTCCCACCTCATCAAAGAGCTCTCTATCTTGCATCCAAGGAATTGCTGAAAATGAAAATGTTTAATCCTGAGTCGTATCGCCAAATTGTTCAAACTCCGACGAGGAAATCGAGCCTGGGTTACACCTTTCTCACCTTCCGCAACATTTTTGAAAACACCTGCACGGATTTTACTACCACGACATCTGAAAAAGTCTCCATATTCCTGGACAGCTTTTCATCATCAAAAACAACACCTCCACTTAAGTGCGAAGGATATGCTATTTTTGCCACAGACGCGTCTGTCATGGCGGATAGTACTGGTTGTGCAGTATGCAACATTTCATGGAATCATAACTTCATGTTTAAAATTCCAAACAAAGTCTCCCCCTTGACTGGTGAACTATATGCTATCGACAAGGCGATAGACATCATCATAGAAGATGGCTACTCACACTCGGCAATCTTCACTGACAGCAAAAACGCGTGCCTACTTCTTCGGCAAAACACCTCCTTCAACTTCCTTGTCTCAAGAATCTTAAAGAAGATTGAAACCGCCAATCTAACTTATATTTTCTTTATCTGGACCCCAGCACATGTTGGTATACCTCCCAACGAACTGGCCGATTATTTTGCTAAGCATGCTGCCTCTGTTGGCTCCATCATAAACCCTCAGCTCTCCTTAAAGGATGCGTATGCTGAAATCTATACAATCAATGGGACACGGAATACAAAGCGCATCAGTCGGGACGGTATTTTCATGAACTTTTTCCTGAATTGCCGAAATGTCACTGGTTTATAAACAGCAAATTTTCGCCCTCTCAAATTAAAACCATCAACAGACTGCTAACAGGTCATACTTTCAACACTCCATACCTCAAAATGATTGGATCAATATCAACAGATCTATGTGAAATTTGTAATACAATTGACGATAATAACCATGCAATTTTTCATTGAACAAAATTTGACTCCCAAAGGCAACACTTCCCTTTTTTCAGGAATTACAACAGTCTTATGGACCTGCTAAAGTCAAAACAACACTTGGTCTACAAGGACCTTTTGAATTTCATAAATTTATGCAAAATCGAGCTATAAAGTCTCCCACGATCTAGCTCTACCACCTACCAATACAGCTATGTATAAACTAAGGCAGCTATGTATAAGCAAATCTAAAAACACTACCACACTCAAATACTAGTATGTATTATGTCTTTTTTGACACAAACAGTACTGGCATATAAGCGTTACCACATGCTTAGACAAAATAAACAAAAACCCAAAAAAAAACAAAGAAAGGTAGAAATGTAAGAAAAAATGTAAACAAAAATAAAAATATAAATTTGCAATTTGTTATTCTTAAATGACAATTGTGTTGTGAGGACCTATAGGTATAATAAAAATTCCTCATTTATCGTGGAATAAACCTTTGGAACTTAATTACTTAATTCCTACAGTCTCAAATGAATTTGTTCAATCACTAATGATGCTCGGATTATTTCAAATAAATAATGTTTATAACACAAATGGAAGACTTTTAGACCTTGCCTTTGTTAATCATCCTATAGACGTATTCGTACGAAACTCGCCACCATTAACATTTCCTGAAGATGTCCACCATCCTACAATTGAAGTTGAAATTTATACTCTTCGTAATAAATCTCTACCATCATCAAATAGAAATAAATTTAAATATAATAAAACATACTGCTTCCATCGTACTGATTATGTAAAACTGAATTATTTATTATCTAACGTCGTTTGGAGTACTATATTTTCTGGAAACAATTTTGATGTCATTGTTAATAATTTTTATTCCATACTTTATCATTTAATTTCACAAACTGTTCCTAAAACGATAAAACGTGAAAAGAAAGGCCCACCTTGGAATAACTACCACTTAATAAATGCAAAAAATAGGAAAAATAAATTTTACAAAAAATACAAAAGATCTGGCTCCATAATTGATTTTAAAAATTACTCTGTGGCACGCTCTGAATACAATATCACAAACAAACTGGCATATAATAATTACATTCTTCGTATGAAATCAACACTAAAAACCAATCCTAAGTCGTTTTATAAATTTATCAACTCTAAACGTCGAGCCTGCCATTACCCAAGTTTCCTAAAGTTTTGTTCCCGTAGTGCCGATGATGATCTATCGATTAGTAACATGTTCGCAGACTTCTTTGCTACAACATATTCTAAATCGACATTTGATAACATTACTCCTTACTCCTCTAATTTAATGCATTCATCGAATATACATTTCACATTCATCCATAGTAATACCGTTTTATCAAACCTGAGATCATTAAATTCTTCGTCTTGCCCTGGCCCTGATGGTATACCTAGCTGCATCCTGAAACATTGTGCTGAAACGTTGTATGTACCTCTTACGGATATTTTCAATAAATCTATTGAATTAGGTTATTTACCAAGCATATGGAAAAAATCATTTATAATTCCTTTATTTAAAAGTGGAAGCAAACTTGAAGTATCGAATTATCGTGGAATTGCTAAGCTGAATGCTATTCCTAAACTTCTTGAAAAAATTTTATCAGACAATCTATCACATCAAGTTTCTTCATTAGTGTCTACATGTCAGCATGGCTTCTGTAAACATCGTTCCACAACAACGAACATCCTCGAGCTCACAACCTTAATAAATGATGGTTTAGTAAATAAGCTACAAACAGACGTAATATATACAGATTTTAGTAAAGCATTTGACAGAGTGAACCATAATATGCTACTAAATAAATTATCGCTAATGGGATTTAGCTTTGCAGCTTTAAATTGGTTGTTTTCCTACTTATCCAATAGAACGCAACAAGTTAAATTTAGAGATGCCACTTCCAAAGTTATTGAGGTCCCATCTGGTGTTCCCCAGGGAAGTCATTTAGGTCCAATACTATTTACTTTATTTATAAATGATCTCCCTAATGTTATTTCTCATTCCAAAGTATTAATGTACGCTGACGATGTCAAAATTCTAAAAACCATTTGAAACTCTAGCAGTCAACACTTACTTCAATCCGACATCGATAAACTTTCGCAATGGTGTAAAATAAACCTTATGGATTTAAATATAAAAAAATGTAAACACATGTCATTTTTTAGAGTAAGAAATTACGACACCAACTATTTTATAGATGAATTGCCGTTGGAAAAAGTCCACAATATTAACGATCTTGGAATATTACTAGATCATAGACTTAATTTCCGTGATCACATTGCATTAACTGTCAATAAAGCGAATGGTGTTCTCGGATTTATGAAACGATGGTCGAAAGAATTTTCTGACCCATACATTACTAAACATCTTTATACATCTTTGGTTCGTCCTATTCTTGAATATGGATCAATTATTTGGGATCCCTGTTATAATATCCATTCAAATAGTATTGAAACTATTCAAAAGCAATTCTTAATTTTTTGTTTACGTGGTCTTGGCTGGAATTCACTCGTGCTACCGTCATATGAAAGCAGACTCAATCTAATAAAGTTACCAACACTAAAAAGTCGTAGATTAATGCTGGGTATTTCATTTTTACTTGGATTAATCCGTGGTGAGATTGAATCGGAGTTTTTGCTTGGTAAAATTAATTTTAATGTCCCATCTCGACCAACCCGTAACTTTCAACCGTTGAAAATAATGTACTACAGCTCCGTGTATGCTAACAACGACTCCTTTCGCCGCATATGTGAAAATTTTAACAAATGTTATCATTTAATAGATTATTCGGAAAGTAATGCTAATATAAAAGAAAAATTGTTTTGCATTTAAATTCCTAAAAATTTGTATAGAACTTTAGTCTGTAAGGATTTATATTAATCTATAGACCAAATAAATAAAATAAAAAATTTAAAGTTTTATTTGCATGGTCATTTGTTTCGAACATAAATAGGTTAAGAGAAGGTTCTATGGGGACAGTTTTTACCCTTTTAGCTCTATAAAGTCTAGATTTTAAAAAAAAAGTACCAGACACCTATCAATTATTTCTTTGTATAATAGAGGATACATTAGGAATTTTATTTATATCTTTGCTTCTTTAGGAGATATAAAGGATACTAATTTTATCCTTTTTTACCCATTTCTTCCCCTAAACGTAATCCCTTCTTAGTGGATCTATACAATGCCAAAGGAACCTATAACCAAAATTTCATGATTCTAGCTTTAACGGTTTGGGCTGGGCGATGATGAATCAGTCAGTCAATCAGTCACGCAAGCCTTTTATATATAGATTGAGAGAAGGAGAATGGATAGTTAGCTGCTGGTTTCATACCTACATCCTGTACAAAAATATTTTAACAGATTAAAGGTGAGTCAGAATAATTATGAATTTTACGTACATAGTTGTTTAACTAATTAAAATTTTCCTCGGATATTATTATTAGTCTACTAAACTCACCTGCAAACAAATCAACTGTAGTAACAGTATTACATTCGACACCGTTACAACTGGAACCATTTTTTTCTTTTCCGTACACTACCCACGGTGAACCAGAATTCAACGAACACATAAATCCTATGTCGCAAAACAGAATTTGGATGTAAAACCATTTGCAGGGCGATTTAATACGATTAACCTTAGAATCCAATACGCATATATTAGGATACATCCCACCAACAAGGGCGGCTTTAATGACAGAACAATTCGATTTGAGATTTATATAATGCATACTAAGATCAACTTTGCTATATATTAATTGTGATGATCTTAAGGATCCAACCAATTGAGTACGGATATTGCAGTCCTGTTCCAACAGGCCATTCAAAATGAAATTATATTAAAATCAAAAACCAATTCCTCATTTCTAAAGTTATTTTTCCATTCTATTATAGATTATTTCATGGCAGAATAATTTGTCCAGTTTGTTTTTTCAACTTTAGCAGTCGTTTTCAAAACAACAACAAAAAGCCATCACTATACCCCCAAAGGTAGGTAAATAACAAGGAATATTTTGGAAGTCAACAAGTATTTATCCTCTAATATTTACATTTAACACAATCATTTAAAATAAAACTAAACATCTCTAGCATGATGTAATAACTTAGTGCATCCTGATCTCTAGTATATTTTCCCAAATAAAAGGTTTTTGAAAATACATATGATTATTACTTACAGAATATCAAGAAGATCTACATATGTCACATTTAAAGCAAAAAATGCAACTTTAACAGTCCATTAGCCCATTCCGCAAGAGCAACGCCATGTAGATAATCCGGATTAAATGAATACGAGATGACAAAAGTTAATTTATTTTCAATAGCAGTTGGCGGTAACATGGCAGACAGCAGTTCGCAGCGGGAAAAAGTGGCAGTAAAGAGGCCTTCCTAAAGGCATTATACACTATAATATGAGACTTTTGGTTACTTTTTCGATCTTTTACTGGTATTAATTAAACGATTAATGAGAATATACAACATGGAACGATAAAGTATTCTTCAAAAGGTACTTTTTGAATTTTCTATAATATTGAACCTAGAAACATGAAATTGAACATAAAGGGTCCACAGTGTGTGAGTGTCTAAATGCGATCTTTTAGTACTTTTTCGTTCTTCAACGAATACCTTTTATGTTTTCTTTAATATAAGAGGACTTTTTGGGTACTTTGTAGTTTTTCAAAGGGTGTTTTTTTAGCTTTTCAATAATATTGGTCAGAAACATAAAATTAAACACGCAGGGTTCTGTTCATGGAAATCTGTATGAATGTTCTTCAGCTGGTACTTTTTGAGTTTTCTATAATATTGAAATATAAATTAAAAAATAAGTGTTTTTTTGGTTCTTTTTTGTTTCGTTTTCGTAGAAACATAAAATATGGAGTGAATGGAAATCTATGGGAAGGGACTTTTGGTACTTTTTCGCTCTACTTTCTGATTTTTCTATATAATTGGACTTAGAGGCATAAAATTAAACACGCAGGGTTCCAGTTGAATGGAAATCTGCACAAAGGGAATAATTTTTACCTTTTCGTTCCTCATCCGGTAATTTTGGAGATTTCTAAAGTAGTTGTATGATAGAAACAATATAATTTGTTTTTATACATATATCGTCACATAAAACGCAAAAATCCCTATTTAACATTTTTTAAATTCTACAGGAGAAGCAAAAAACTATTTAAAATGGAAAGTTTAGTTTCAATCAGCGCGATTTGTTTTTCTTCAAAAGACATTTTTTAACGGTAAATTTCTCAGTTGTTTTGACAATTTACAATTTGTATTTACAAATGATTAGTTACGTCTTTTAGCCTTTATATAAAACTGCTTTTGAAGATAGGGCCCTTTTGAACATTTGGCTTGATGTAATACATAAGAAAATGAAAATGTCGATTTTGAATTTTTTTTAGTTAGGGCCGTTTTAGTTTTAGGTATGTAGGCAAAGTCACAAAGTTGCACGTAGCACTGTCCTGTTAATCCAAAATCTCGGATGTTTATGAAAATGAATTTATTTAAATTAGAGTAAAAAGGTGATATGAAGTGATAAAAATAAGTTTAATAAATTGTATGATATTTTGAGAATACAAAACTTCAGTAATTACATATGTGAAAATTTTTTACATATGTATATTCCATATTAATTAAAAAATCGTTTAATGTGTGTGACAAACCTTAGCTTTTAATGTGGAAACGGCACGCTGGTGGTCGCACGACGCAAGCTCGTCGGATGGGGGTAGGATCTTTCCACCATAGTTTGGTCACATTTAAAATATCGTGCCATTGTCAAATATGTTATAATGAAATAAAAATTACAATCGAAATTTCTATTAGTCAGATGGACAAATGACAACTATGTTAATAACAATCTATAGTCCCATAGTCTTTGAAGGAAATGGTGTTATGACCTTCACGGACTTCCCTCCCTTAACATGGCAATGTTTCAGCCATCCTTGGTCCCAGTTCATCCGTCCTGTAATTGTCTGGAACCCTAACAATAACTTACCAACTAATCATGATTCACATCATTACCTCTTTACTTATTAGCTTTCCATTATCATTAATATACTGTTTGTTTCAAAATATCGTAATACATACAAATATTTGTTTTTATTTTCTAATAAACAGAATTCGTAACGAAGCTAACATACAATATATAAATTTCCTTAGGATTATAACAAAAGTTATTACGATAAAGAATTTAACAGATTGAACTTCAAAATAAATCAGTTATTTTTATATTTAGAATAGAATATAAATTAGAGATTCTAATATTTTTTTTGTATATTAATCGCAAAAAAAAAACATATTTGTATCATGAAAGTTTTATATGAAGAAATTAAATTGTACACAAAAAATATTAGAATTTACAACAAAAAAATAATAATTTTCCTTTTTTTGTTTTAATTTATATTAAATATGAATTAACTATAATTCAGATTATTAAACTTAAATCATTCTTTTTTTTTTTTTTAGATTAACGTGAGGGTATTAAGGTTTTATATCATGCTTGTTTGTTTTTCATTATGTTATTTAGTACATTCTTATTTGTTTATTTATTATTTATTTATTTATTTATTTATTTATTTATATATTTATTCATTTATATATTCATTTATTTATTTAATAATTTATTTATTAATTTATTTATTTATTTTATTTGTATATTTATTTATTTATATATTCATTTATTTATTTAATAATTTATTTATTAATTTATTTATTTATTTGTATATTTATTTATTTATTTGTTTATTTTAACATTATTTTTTATATTTATACCCCATTTACACATACACGAAATCTAGTAGATTTCATTTAAAATCTTTTTCCAAATCTAGTCCGTTTACACTTACTATTCTTGACATTTAAGAAGATTTCATTTTTTCTAATATTTCTTGAAAAAGTGTGTGATATGAAAAATAAGAAGGAAAAATGGGATATTTATCAAAATTCCATTTAAAATAAAAAAATAGATACTTGAATATAACATTACCTTTTATTTTAGATTAACTTTTCATTCGTGTTTTTCAATTTATAAAAATTTTGTCGACATTTTAATTTTTTTTTTTTTTTTGTTTGTTTTGTTTCCCTCTTTTTTCTTGTGTAGTGTCGTATTTTTTAGTATTATTTAGAAAAAACAGAGTTGCATCACTAAAAACTATTAGATTTTGAGTAGATTTTAACGAAATCTAGTTACGAAGTAGATTTTGTTTTGTATGGGAAATCTAGTTAAAATCAAGTAGATTTGGCTCGAAATCTCATAAGTACTAGATTTCGTGTATGTGTAAATGGGGTATTAGATCAATTAATATCTTAATAAATTTAATTTAAGAAAATAATTAAGATACACGGAAACATAAAAACATGTAACATAAAGTTTGGTTAGGTTCATTTTTTTTTAACGGTCACGTTTTATATTTTCAAGGTGACTCATTCTTTTATACATTCAGTATTTAAAGGTCATAGGAGTCATTAAAATTTCACCAGTGTAGTCTTATGTTATTTCTTTTTTTTTAACGGCTTACCCTGATTTTTCCTTCAATTTGTTTTACCGTGCACTATATTTATTCCTCCACTGTTCTATTCGTCAAATTTTACCAGTATTCTGGGTTGTTGTCCTTGATGATATATTTGGGATTAATGTCCGTGGGATTTTTTTGGGATTAATTTTGCCCGAAATACCTTGAGCTGTCTCTGTCTTTACTAAGCGATAAGATCTACGCAATTTCTCACTCACAGATGGCATAAAACTTAATTATTACATTATTCAAGTTTTATTAATACTATTGATGATTTTATGCAATAGAAATTATGCAATACTTAAAATGCAATCATATAAGTAATTGATATTTAAGTACAGCATTTACTTTATTACATAATTTCATATAATCTTGATTACTATTTAAAAAAAACTCATTTGTGTTACCTGTGATTGATGTTAAAATCGTTGCAATAAATATGTGTTTAAATTAGATTAATAGTTTATGACTTTATTCAATTAACTTTGACTTTTAATTATACTGTATAATGCCTTTCACTACTACTGACTATTACTCAACTTTCACTTTCACGTGTCAAAAACATAATGACCGACGTGATCTTGTGAGTATTATGTTAATGTCACCCTAGACGATCATAAACCCACCACCCCTCGGTTTTTTTCTTTTACTATTACATCGTTTTCCCAAGATCATTGTAAGGTCATTACATGATATTTTTCGTCAAGTGCATCCTATTGTGAATTGCACTATAAAAGTCAATAACTCCACTGCCCCCTGTATGTCATGATCATAACTCTACAAGGGTAGATGACAGTTCTCCAAAAAAAAAAAAACATAAACAAAGAAAGGTAGATAGAAAGATAGCAGGTTGCGATCAGACGTCTACTCAGTGTTCGTGCTGCTTTTTAAAGTCAATTTTTTTTCTGTTTTGCTGCCGTTATAACTGTATTTAACTACATTTGTTAGTGTAAATTTTTGAGAAAGAGACTCAACAACAATATATTCATTTATTTATTTAATCATTTATTTATTAATTTATTTATTTATTTATTTGTATATTTATTTATTTATATATTCATTTATTTATTTAATAATTTATTTATTAATTTATTTATTTATTTATTATTTGTATATTTATTTATTTATTTGTTTATTTTAACATTATTTTAAACTTTAATGTTATATGAGAAAAAATATAAATCTCAAAACTATTAAAATTTAAAATAAGTTAATTTTTGTTCAAATACATTGCCATAAAACAAACGTGTTTGTATTGAAAATCCAAAAAATAAGTATTACTTAAGGTACGTTCACACCTATCAAATATTTGACGTTTTTTATCAAATATTTGTTGGCTGTAATGTGAACACAAAATATTTTTGAAGAGCAA